TTTTATTATGTTTTATTTTTATTATTTTATTACTTCCCTTCTACGTGACTTCACCGAAAGAACCAAGAAGATGAATCCCTGCAGTCACGAAAGCTTTAAATCAAAATAAAAACATCATCATCGTCAACAACAACGACAACAACAACATCGTCAACAACAACAACATCGTCAATAACAACATCAACAACAACAACATTAGGTGAGCGCATGAGTGGCTGAGTGGGTGAGTGAGTGGCTGAGTGAGTGGGTGAGTGAGTGAGTGGGTGAGTGAGTGGGGGAGTGAGTGGGTGAGTGAGTGAGTGGCTGAGTGAGTGAGTGGCTGAGTGGGTGAGTGAGTGGGTGAGTGGGTGGGTGAGTGAGTGGCTGAGTGGGTGGGAGAGTGGGTGAGTGGGTGGGTGAGTGAGTGAGTGGCTGAGTGGGTGAGTGAGTGGCTGAGTGGGTGGGTGAGTGACTGAGTGGGTGAGTGAGTGTGTGAGTGACTGAGTGCCTGAGTGAGTGACTGAGTGGGTGAGTGAGTGACTGAGAGCCTGAGTGAGTGTCTGAGAGGGTGAGTGAGTGAGTGGCTGAGTGAGTGAGTGGCTGAGTGAGTGGGTGAGTGAGTGGGTGAGTGAGTGAGTAGCTGAGTGAGTGGGTGAGTGAGTGTCTGAGTGGGTGAGTGAGTGTGTGAGTGAGTGACTGAGTGAGTGCGTGAGTGGGTGGGTGGGTGAGTGAGCGGGTGAGTGGGTGAGTGGTGAGTAAGTGGGTGGGTGAGGGGTGGGTAAGTGGGTGAGTGAGTGGGTGTGTGGGATGGTGAGATGGTGAGTGGGTGGGTGAGTGAGTGGGTGGGTGAGTGAGTGGGTGGGTGGGTGGGTGAGTGAGTGGGTGGGTGAGTGAGTGAGTGGTGAGTGAGTGGTGAGTGGGGGGTGAGTGAGTGAGTGGTGAGTGAGTGGTGAGTGAGCGAGTGGTGAGTGAGCGAGTGGTGAGTGAGTGAGTGGTGAGTGAGTGATGATTGGTGAGTGTGTGGTCAGTGAGTGAGTGAGTGGTGAGTTAGTGAGTGGTGAGTGAGTGTGTGGTGAGTGAGTGGTGAGAGTGGTGAGTGAGTAGTGATAGGGAACCGGTTCCCATAGAAAGTCTATGGGACAATGTTAAGAGATAGGGAACCGGTTCCCATAGAAAGTCTATGGGACAATGTTAAGAGATAGGGAACCGGTTCCCATAGAAAGTCTATGGGACAATGTTAAGAGATAGGGAAGGGTGGTGAGTGGTGAGCGGTGGTGGTGAGTGGTGGTGAGTGGTGACTGAATGGTGGTGAGCGGTGGTGAGCGCTGGTGAGCGCTGGTGAGCGCTGGTGAGCAGTGGTGATTACCGGTGCTGGTGAGTGGAGAGTAGTGAGTAGTGAGTGGTGAGCGGTGGTGAGCGGTGGTGAGTGGTAGTGGTGAGTGGTGGTGGTGAGTGGTGGTGAGTAGTGGTGAGTGGTAGTGGTGAGCGGTGAGTGGTGGTGAGCGGTGAGTGGTGGTAGTGGTGAGTGGTGGTGAGTGGTGGTAGTGGTGAGTGGTGGTAGTGGTGAGTAGTGGTGGTAGTGGTGAGTAGTGGTGATGGGGGGGTGGTGGTGATGGGGGGGTGGTGGTGATGATGATGGTGGTGGTGATGGTGGTGGTGATGATGGTGATGGTGGTGATGGTGGTGGTGGTGATGGTGGTGGTGGTGATGATGGTGATGGTGGTGATGGTGGTGGTGGTGATGGTGGTGGTGGTGATGGTGGTGGTGGCACCTAAAGAAGTTGTTGTTCCAGATGAACATGTGTGAGCGGGGCTCCTCCCCCCGGTTGATGGCCATCACCGCCACCACCACCATCACCATCACCACCACCACCACCATCACCACAACCACCACCATCGCCACCACCACCATCACCACCGCCACCACCACCAGCATCACGACCACCACCACCATCACCACCATCACCACCACCATCACCACCACCATCACCACCACCATCACCACCACCATCACCACCACCATCACCACCACCACCACCTCCCCCACCACCTCCACCACCACCATCACCACCACCACCACCATCACCACCACGATCACCACCACCACCCCCACCATCACCACCATCACCACCACCACCATCACCACCATCACCACCACCATCACCACGACCACCATCACCACCACCACCATCACCACCACCATCACAACCATCACCACCATCACAACCATCACCACCATCACCACCATCACAACCATCACCACCATCACAACCATCACCACCATCACACCATCACCACCATCACCACCACCATCACCATCACCACCACCACCATCATCACCACCATCACCACCCCCATGACCACCACCACCATCACCACCATCACCACCACCATGACCACCACCTTGAATGTGGCTCTCTCTCTCTAACGAGTCTCTGTGACAGCGTCTTGTGGGGGAGCTCACGGCAGCTCTGCAGCTCCTCGTTCCAGTCGCGCGTCTGCAGCGACAGCAACAACAACATTGTCAACAACATCATCATCGTCAACAACAACGACAACAACAACATCGTCAACAACAACAACATTACATGAGCGCCTGAGTGGCTGAGTGGGTGAGTGAGTGGGTAAGTGGGTGGGTGAGTGAGTGAGTGGCTGAGTGGGTGGGTGAGTGGGTGAGTCGGTGGGTGAGTGGGTGAGTCGGTGGGTGAGTGAGTGGCTGAGTGGTGGTAGTGGTGAGTGGTGGTAGTGGTGAGTAGTGGTGGTAGTGGTGAGTAGTGGTGATGGGGGGGTGGTGGTGATGGGGGGGTGGTGGTGATGATGATGGTGGTGGTGATGATGATGGTGGTGGTGATGGTGATGGTGGTGGTGATGATGGTGATGGTGGTGATGGTGGTGGTTGTGATGGTGGTGGTGATAGTGGTGGCACCTAAAGAAGTTGTTGTTCCAGATGAACATGTGTGAGCGGGGCTCCTCCCCCCGGTTGATGGCCATCACCGCCACCACCACCATCACCACCACCATCACCACCACCACCATCACCACCACCACGATCACCACAACCACCACCATCGCCACCACCACCATCACCACCGCCACCACCACCAGCATCACCACCACCACCACCACCACCATCACCACCACCATCACCACCATCACCACCACCATCACCACCATCACCACCACCATCACCACCACCACCACCTCCCCCACCACCTCCACCACCACCTCCACCACCACCATCACCACCACCACCACCATCACCACCACGATCACCACCACCACCCCCACCATCACCACCATCACCACCACCATCACCACCACCACCATCACCACCACCATCACCACGACCACCATCACCACCACCACCATCACCACCACCATCACAACCATCACCACCATCACAACCATCACCACCATCACCACCACCATCACAACCATCACCACCATCACCACCATCACCACCACCACCACCATCATCACCACCATCACCACCCCCATCAACACCATCACCACCATCACCACCATCACCACCACCACCACCACCATCACCACCACCATCACCATCACCACCACCACCACCACCATCATCACCACCATCACCACCCCCATGACCACCACCACCATCACCACCATCACCACCACCATGACCACCACCTTGAATGTGGCTCTCTCTCTCTAACGAGTCTCTGTGACAGCGTCTTGTGGGGGAGCTCACGGCAGCTCTGCAGCTCCTCGTTCCAGTCGCGCGTCTGCAGCGACAGCAACAGCAACAACAACATTGTCAACAACATCATCAACATCGTCAACAACAACATCATCATCGTCAACAACAACGACAACAACAACATCGTCAACAACAACATCAACAACAACAACATTACATGAGCGCCTGAGTGGCTGAGTGGGTGAGTGAGTGGCTGAGTGAGTGAGTGAGTGATTGAGTGGGTGAGTGAGTGGGTAAGTGGGTGGGTGAGTGAGTGAGTGGCTGAGTGGGTGGGTGAGTCGGTGGGTGAGTGAGTGGCTGAGTGGGTGAGTGAGTGGGTGAGTGGCTGAGTGAGTGAGTGAGTGGCTGAGTGGGTGAGTGAGTGAGTGAGCGAGCTAGAGAGAGAGTGAGTGAGTGGCTGGGTGAGTGAGTGAATGAGTGAGCGAGCGAGCGAGCGAGTGAGTGAGCGAGCGAGCTAGCGAGAGAGTGAGTGAGTGGCTGGGTGAGTGAGTGAGTGAGTGAGCGAGTGAGTGAGTGAGCGAGCGAGCTAGCGAGAGAGTGAGTGAGTGGCTGGGTGGGTGAGTGGGTGAGTCGGTGGGTGAGTGAGTGGCTGAGTGGGTGAGTGAGTGGGTGAGTGGCTGAGTGAGTGAGTGAGTGAGTGGCTGAGTGGGTGAGTGAGTGAGTGAGCGAGCTAGAGAGAGAGTGAGTGAGTGGCTGGGTGAGTGAATGAGTGAGCGAGCGAGCGAGTGAGTGAGCGAGCGAGCTAGCGAGAGAGTGAGTGAGTGGCTGGGTGAGTGAGTGAGTGAGCGAGTGAGCGAGCGAGCGAGTGAGCGAGTGGCTGAGCGAGCGAGTGAGCGAGTGGCTGAGTGAGTGAGTGGCTGAGTGAGTGGGTGAGTGAGTGAGTGGGTGAGTGAGTGGGTGAGTGAGCGGGTGAGTGAGCGAGCAAGTGGCTGAGCGAGTGAGTGGGTGAGCGAGCGAGCGAGTCATTGGCTGAGTGAGTGGGTGAGTGAGTGGGTGAGTGAGCAAGTGAGTGAGCGAGCAAGTGGCTGAGCGAGTGAGTGGGTGAGCGAGCGAGTGATTGGCTGAGTGAGTGGGTGAGTGAGTGAGTGGGTGAGTGAGCAAGTGAGTGAGCGAGCGAGTGGCTGAGCGAGTGAGTGGGTGAGCGAGCGAGCGAGTGAGTGGGTGAGTATGCGGGTGAGTGGGTGAGTGAGTGAGCTCACCTCGTGCTGTGGCCGCCTGCGAGTGAGTGAGTAGCGCAGGAACGTGGAGTGAAGCTTGTGAGTGAGTGGGTGAATGAGTGAGTGGGTGAGTGAGTGGCTGAGTGAGTGGGTGAGTGAGTGAGTGGGTGAGTGAGTGGGTGAGTGAGTAGCGCAGGAACGTGGAGTGAAGCTGCTCCTTGCTGAGCAGCGTCAACCAGAGACGACGCACCGGCAGCGCCCATCGGTGGTGGGACCTGGAGCCAACAGCATCATCATGATTAGCAGCAGCACCATCACCACCATCACCACCAGCACCATCACCATCATTACCATCACCACCACCACCACCCCCACCACCACCCCCACCACCCCCACCACCATCACCACCACCACCACCCCCCATCACCACCACCATCACCACCATCACAACCACCACCACAACCATCACCACCACCATCACCACCACCACCATCAGCACCACCACCACCACCATCACCATCATCACCACTATCATCACCACCCCCATCACCACCACCACCACCCCCACCATCACCACCACCCCCATCACCCCCAACATCACCACCACCATCATCACCACCACCATCATCACCACCATCACCACCATCATCACCACCCCCACCACCATCACCACCACCACAACCATCACCACCACCATCATCACCACCACCACCATCATCACCACCATCACCAGCATCATCACCACCACCACCATCACCATCACCATCACCACCACCACCATCATCACCATCACCACCATCACCACCACCATCACCACCATCACCACCACCACCATCATCACCATCATCACCACCATCACCACCACCATCACCATCACCACCATCACCACCATGACCACCACCATCACCACCATCACCACCATGACCACCACCATCACCACCATCACCACCACCACCACCATCACCACCATCACCACCACCACCATCATCACCTCCTCCACCACCATCACCACCACCACCATCACCACCACCATCATCACCACCACCACCACCACCACCACCGCCACCATCACCATCACCACCACCACCATCATCATCAACACCACCATCACCACCATCATCATCACCACCATCACCACCACCACCACCATCACCACCATCATCACCATCACCTCCACCCCCACCACCCCCAACATCACCACCACCATCACCACCATCATCACCACCACCATCACCACCATCATCACCACCATCACCACCATCACCACCATCACCACCACCACCACCACCACCACCATCACCACCACCACCACCATCACCACCATCACCTCCCCCACCACCTCCACCACCACCACCACCACCACCACCACCGCCACCATCACCACCACCACCGCCACCATCACCACCGCCACCATCACCACCGCCACCATCACCACCACCATCACCACCACCATCACCACCACCACCGCCACCGCCATCACCACCCCCATCACCACCACCATCACCACCACCATCACCATCACCACCATCACCATCATCACCACCACCACCATCATCACCACCATCACCACCCCCATCACCACCATCACCATCACCACCACCATCACCACCATCACCACCACCACCACCTTGAATGTTGCTCTCTCTCTCTAACGAGTCTCTGTGACAGCTTCTTGTGGGGGAGCTCACGGCAGCTCTGCAGCTCCTCGTTCCAGTCGCGCGTCTGCAGCGGCAGCAACAACAACAACATTGTCAACAACATCATCAACATCGTCAACAACAACAACAACATCGTCAACATCAACAACAACAACATTACGTGAGCGCCTGAGTGGCTGAGTGGGTGAGTGAGTGGCTGAGTGAGTGAGTGGGTGAGTGAGTGGGGGAGTGAGTGGGTGAGTGAGTGGGTGATTGAGTGAGTGGCTGAGTGAGTGAGTGGCTGAGTGAGTGAGTGGCTGAGTGGGTGAGTGAGTGGGTGAGTGAGTGGCTGAGTAGGTGGGTGAGTGGGTGAGTGGGTGAGTGAGTGGCTGAGTGAGTGAGTGGCTGAGTGGGTGAGTGAGTGGGTGAGTGGGTGGGTGAGTGAGTGGCTGAGTAGTGGGTGAGGTGAGTGGGTGAGTGGTGGGTGAGTGGGTGCTGAGTGGTGAGTGGAGTGGCTGAGTGTGTGAGCTGAGTGGCTGAGTGGGTGAGTGAGTGGCTGAGTGGGTGGGTGAGCGCCTGAGTGGCTGAG